ATGGTGTTTTCACAGACAAGTTTATTTTTAGTTTGAATTTACTGCTAAATGAGATTCCCTACGGAAGCCCTTCGACCAATCACGATTAGCACGAAGTTAATTTACAACTACCTCCTGGGAAAAGATAGTCTAATAATGAACCGTTCTGTGAAAATGCCGTGACATAGTCTTGGAGTGGGAATGTCACGTTGCTGTACAAAGAACGCTTTAGAACTTATATGACTTTTTGTTTTCTTGAAATGTACCATTGTTTCGTTTTGATTACGTGATTATAAAACATCCTTTTTTGGCTAGCCGCAGGAAGAGTGTTTTCAGTTTAGTTTCCTTTACGTCATAGAAGTATATTAGGCCTTTTTTCATGCGAACATTTTAGTTTTAGGGAGTTGTCCCTGGAGCACAGAGGAGTTTTATAGGTGTCTTTCGGAGTTTTTTTTACAACTTTTTCTCATCTCTGGAGTCAAGATCATACGTAAGTCACGATCGATGAGTTCCTATTAGTTTTTAGTTGTGTTTCTTTCGTCAGATTTGTAGTTTAGCTCCTTTCCTCAGCTTAGAAAAATCGTGCATTCCCTTTTAGTTTTCACCGTAAGTGTTGTAACAAGTCGTGTGTAAGAGTCTTCTGTTCGTCCTGTACTTCATTGTGGTTGACCTGGCGAACCCAAATACGCTGCACCCCGTGTCTCCCGTGCTGGGAACGCGACAGGGAGTTCAACGCTCCAAATGATGGGCCCCTGTAGGTGTATATGAGTGAAGGATTTTGGTCCCAGGCATAAAGAAAAGAATAAGTCCCCGAGTACCCTTGAGTTGTGGTTCGCCGGTCGAATGTTAACCACTGTCCAAAGGACTTTTGTGGCTAAGTATGGACTAGATACTAAATATTCAAATATGTCGCTCGCCGTTCTTGCATACCGCAAATTAGGATCACAATCATGTAAAATTATACAGTCCTAAGTTGGTGTGAAAAGTCTGCTCACTATTGATTGGCTATCTCATCTGGTTGTCATAATTAGCATAAATTATCATAGGTAACGAGAGACCACGACGTGGAAATAAACATGGCAGTTGTGTTCTAGAATCCTAGTGCTCTTTGTTCGCCGCTTACTACTCTTTCTCCTTAGTCAACTCTACAAATCAACACTCACGAGCCGCTTGCCGACACCGCTGGCCAGAGTTTATCGTGGTACGAAGGCAAGAAAGTAATTTAAAGCAGTAGTAACTGTTTTTGACAATGAAATCTGCAGAGCATACGATATGCAGATAATAGTAAATTTATTTCAAGTCGAGCGAAGTGAATGTTTGAGACAGCGAGAAAGCTTATAAATCGATTAGTGAAGACCATTAAAGTCCAAAACGTCTGACGAGAAAGTCAATATCTGTCATCTTCTCAGATAGATAATCACTTAATTTATTAAAAAAACTGACCTTTTCGAGAAGAAAGTTAACAACGTGAGCATGGTTTCGTTTTGCAGCCATGTGAAGTGGTGTCCGTCCCCTAAAGTCAACAAGAGTTATTCGGCAGAGCGCCGGGTCTTTACTGACGAGATATTCCACTATTGGCATGGATCCCATTTCACACGCCAAGTGAAAAGCTGTTTCCCTATTAAGTTTCTGTGGTGTTTACATGTTGAAAAAGGAAAATATAAAAATATTACGGCCACACCTCATGGTAAAGATGGGGGAATCAGAAGACAAAGAGGTATACAGCCATGATCCTCTGGCAAAATAACTTAGGTAGTAATACAGGAGGTTTGTGTCTATGGAAAGATTTTTTGACATATGACTTACCCGGGGTTGTCTTATCCTCACTCCATATTCAGTGCAGTGTTGCACGACCTGAAATTACAATTAAAGACTATGGTCTCTTTCGATATTAAACGAAAGGAATATAAGGTATCACGGTATTCGTCAGTATTTGATACAAAGAAGGTGCATTTCCTGAAAGATAACTACCATGTAATCCCCATTTTTCAGACCTCCTCAGCAAACTGCAAAAGTATAAACTGAAGCTGAAGGTTTGGGGCCAAGTTTGGTTCGAATTTTCAGGAATGTTAGGAAATCAAGAGCTTCTAGTGGGATTTTACTGCGTATGCTAAAACTTCGAAATCCGTCGAGCTCACGACAGCCTAAAGATTCCACAAGGCGCATGCTTACCGCAAGTACACCACTGTTCACAGCCAGATGAAGGAGACTGTTGCCATCAACATCAACGTCATATAAAAAGTCTTCAACTGTCCCTAGCTGTCGCGCTGCAAGGGAAAAAGATCCCTTTTTGCTGAGTAAAAGAGGCTAAATATCAGGCTAAAAATTCCGAATATGCTGCAGTGAATATGTTTTGAACACAGTAGATAAGGTACCATGATTCAAGAGAAATTCAGCTGACTTTCCTGCGCCTCTTTCCATCGCATGTGCCAATGGCGTCATTCGGTCATCGTCGAGGCTTTTTGTGTCTCCTGAATTATCAATCTAAAAAAAGAAAAAAATTCGATGAATAGAGGCAAATATGGTGGTCTACTTAGCCTTAATATCAATGGGTACGTTTGTTGGGATAGCATATGGAAATGGAGAGGTTAGCTTTAGATTTAAGGGTAGATGTTATGAAGTTAATTTAGGACAACTTTTCTCTGCTAAGTTGAGAAAACTTTATCCCTTTTGCCTTTGTTTTTTTTTTCCTAAGTTTTTGTTGTTGTTGTTATTATTTTTTTTTGTTTCTGATGCTGTTTTTTTTTTTGTTTCATGTACTGTTATGATAGCGCCTGTGGTGCACTTCAGCTGTCTGATTTTTTCCCTGAGAAAGCTTTTGTGGTTTCTATTACAAAGAGAGAAAGTAAAGTGAAAGCAATAGGTTATAGGGTATCAACAAAGAGGAGGAACGAGGTCGAAGGAAAAGTTTCAAACCTTATGCTTTTATTCTTTTTTCTTTCTGTTTTTTTTTTTTTTTTCTGTATGATTATATGTTTATAAGAGATGTAATACATAAATGATTCTCTTGAAGAACTTCACCATTATTTGACAAATCTTTTCGTTATCCATTTCAGCAGCAAGGTGCAAGGGCGTACACGAGTTACGGCCCGGAGCGTTTGCATCTGCACGGCCCCGTTTTAATAGGGTCTGAAAAAAACATCCGTAAACTTGTTAGTTGGCATTAATTTCATTTCATCGAGACAAAAACTAAAACATCCATGATTAAAACGTTCAATCTTTACAAGTGCATGTGAAATATGAAGTTTGCGAGGTTCTCGTTTCCTTGTCATACTTCTTATGCGCCCCTGTGCTCGAGTGTGAATAAAATAGCTCCCCGCGGTTTCGTTAGACTGGGATAAAAAAAGACACTTCCAAACTGGGACTTGGAAGTGAGGACAACTAAGTATATACCTTCGTAAAAACCAAAGCTCAATCTTGCAAAGTTTTATATATATATAGTGACATGTCCTTTAGGCGATAAAAGACAATTTCGATCTCATTAAAAAAAAAAGCTGATATTTTTAAGTCAAGCTGTAAAGTTTTCAGTATTTACTACATGAGCCATACTTCGTCTTTCTGTGGGGTTATGTTTTCAGTGGTTATCACTAATTTTGGTCGCCAATTGTACAAAGATCTATTCATCCATGATCGTTTGCACAATAGGTAATATAGAGAGCATGATGAGAGCGAAAAGTCATGTCCAAGAACACAGCGCAATGACCCAAGGGCTTGACATTGCTGTTTCACGTCAAAACTGTGATGCTTTACCCTGTTACAATGAAGCGAGCACACAGCTTATTATTCGCCCGATTATAAAAATAAAGGGAAAATATCCAAATATTAGTATAATTTCAGAGCTGAGCAAAGAGTTCCCAGCAGTCTGATTGGTCGAGTGGTTCCTTATATGACGCTATATAAACCGCTACATGCGGTTTATATAAAATGTTAAAATAAAATGTTAATAAATGTTACTAAAATGTTATGATTTAGAAATTTCTCTGTTACTCAGCTCTGAAATTATACTAAAACAACTGTTCGCCTCAGGTTCGGTGAATATTGTCGAATAATCCCCTCGACTTCGTCTCGGGGATTATTCAACGATATTCACCTCGCCATCGGCGAATAATTGTTAAATATAAGGGGTTATCGGCTTATAACCAATTTAATACTGTCATTATGAATTCTGGTCTTACTGCTTCAAAATAAACATGTCCCTTGAATTGAAGTTTTATTTTTAATTCTAGAATGATAATACCTGATCTTTCAGGAGGATGAGGCAGTATGTTACATGTTTGGTCACATTCAATCGGAACATTGCATATGGCACCTTCAATTTTCCTCTGTTGTCCTTTAGGCAAAACAATTATTTTTTCAAATACTATTTGCTGTGTTATTACTATTTGTTCTGATTTTGTTAGAGATTCAAGCTGAGTTGGAACATCATACACATACAAATTGTTTGCAATTAACTGCTAAACATGGGAGCAGTCTGTCTTTAATGGCTTTAGAGTGGCTAGTCTTACAAATGTTTTGTTTTCCATCAAATGAAGTTTGTATACTGAAGATATCCTGACAGGGATAACTATTTGTAATCAAATTTAAGACTGATTTCTTATATAGTGTTCTATTACAAATACAACATACATAGTACGGACCTTCCCTTATTTTCTTTTTGAACTATTGAGTACATGAATCTAAAGTTATGTTCTTAATATTACAGTTGTATGCTTCTTTGTGTCTCTCAAGCAATTCTTATTTTCTTAAAGAATCCATTGTTTTGTATTTTTCTGCTTGTTTGTGTAACAGGTTTTGTTTCTTACCAGTATCCATTGTTTTGTATTTTTCTGCTTGTTTGTCTAATAGATCTTGTTTCTTGGCAGCATCCACTGTTTTGTATGGTTGTGCTTTTTTTCTGTTTAACAGGTCATTTTTCTCAGTAGAATGCACTGTTTTGTATTTTTGAACTTTATTCAGTTGTTTATCATGGTTGTTTCCTGTATCCCTTATTTGCTGTTTATCTAATAACATTTTCTTTTTAGATGGTTCCACTGTTTCATAGTGTTGTTTATTTCTCTGAATTTTCATCAACTTTTTTCTATCATTTCTATGGACATTTTTACATGAACATGTTACAAATTGTATTGTGTAGTCCTGAAGATCTATGTTCACTTTGAATTTTGCAAATGACATCAACAAGTGAAGGTATACCATTTATGCATTTAGTGAACTGAATTGGTGGTATGTTACTTTCATTGTATACTAACAAAGAATAAACATATTTTGACGTATTTGTGGATTTTAAGATACCACTGATACAAAAAGATTCAAAACTCATCAAAAACCCTGTACATTCATTGTTTAGAATACCATCTTCAAGAATTGATTTGCTTTGTAATGTATCTGACAATACTTCACAGTTCTCATTTGAGACTAGTAAATTTACTTCATTTCCACAAACATCAATTGTTTTTGGCAAGTCACAAGTTGAAAACTTTTCTTTTAAAGAGAGAAGATCACACAGCCTTTGGCCATAGTTTACAATCCTAGATAAAGTATTGGAATTCCAATAGCTAGATGATTTTATTTTAGAATAACAGATAGAGTAGATGGCTACTGAACAACTTTGATTGAACTCCTTAATTTCACACATAGTGTTTTGACAAATTATGCCATTTTGAACTTCATTGATTTTCAACCCCTTTACCTCGAACATGTAATTGTTATGTATACTCTTAAAGAGCTCTGAGACGTATGCATATCCTTAGTGTGTAAAAGGAATGGTTGTAGTGTATCTGATCTTGATTACAATTGTCTCATTATGTCACTTTTCACTTACTTTATTAGAGTTTGGGGTGTTGCTGCTTACACTAAGTACCTTATCCAGATTGATAGGCTACTGAAAAGGGCCTTTCAATTTGGGGTATATTCAACACGAGTCATTGATTCAACAGGTTATTATAGACAGGGATGTAAGGCTCTGGAAAAGCATTATGGGTACTAGCTTCTTCGCATCCCTTGCAGGATCTTCTCCCCCCACTTAAGAAAAGGACTCTATACGGTAGTTCGCATCCTTACAAGATCCCACGTGTTAACACAGAGAGGTTTAAGAAATGCTTTGTAAATAGATGTCTTTTTGATTCTAAATAGATAGTAATTAACTCTTAGTTTAATCCCATTTATGACGGATTTTGTAAGTTTTAACGTTTGTTTAAAACCTTGAATAAAGACTTTATTATTATTATTATCATTGTGCCAAGCTATTCAATGATGATACTTCTAGAAGCACACAAGTACTTTCAGGATGTCCTCTACCATATAAATCTCTTGCATGAGAATCAAATATTTTAAATCCCATGTCACCTTTACAATAAATAGCGACAGCAATGCACCCATGCAGTTTTTGCAGTCTTCAGATAACATTGACTCAAAAATTCTTTGCAGAGAAGAACAATATGTATATGTGCACGATCCTTCGCAGTAAAGCACTATTTGAGCAATAGTGAAAATCAGACCTGAAAAAAATTTCAGGCCTGTACGGGATTCGAACCACTGACCTCTGCGATACTAGTGCAGCGCTCTACCAATTGAGCTAACAAGCCAACTGGGAGCAGGCCATCAAATTAATTCGACATAAACCCGTAGATGATAAATCAAACAACAACAAACATATGAAACATATGT